GACAGTGAGGACGAAAAGATCATCGCCAAAGGCCCTGCGATCTCTTCCCTCACTTCCCATAGAATCTTTGGATAAATCCCATCAGGCCCGGGGGACTTATCTATCTTCAAGTTCCTCAAAATTCCTAATACATCTTCCTTACTTACATCGACCTCCTCTAGCGTACCAGCATGTTTCACACTGTCCTCCTCTAAAACTAGGTCCCTCTCAATTGTGAATACATAGGAAAAGTATTCATTAAGGGCCTCTCCTGTCTCTTTAGGCTCCTGCACAAATTCCCTTTACAATCCTTGATCGGCCCTACCCTTTCTCTGGTCATTTTCTTATTCCTCACATTGGTGTAAAAAGCCTTGGAGTTTTCCTTGATCCTATCCACCAAGGTTTTCTCATGCCCACTTATAGCTCTCCTAAGCCCTTTCTTCAGCTCCTTCCTGGATAACTTGTATCCCTCTGGAGCCTTTTCCGATCCTTGTTTCCTAAACCTTATATAAGCGCCCTTCTTCCTCTTAACCAGTCGTTCGACCTCTCTTGAGAACCAAGGGTCCCTCAATTCCCTGCCTGCTAGGGACAAACATATCGATCACACGCAGTATGCATTCCTTAAACAATCTCCACATTTCTATAGTCCTCGTCCCTGACAGCATCTGTTCCCATTTTATGTTACCCAGTTCTTGCCTAACAGAATTATAATTACCCTTCCCCCAATTATAAACCTTATCCTGTTGTATGTACCTATCCTTTTCCATGACTATTTTAAAAGTAACAGAGTTATGATCGCTACCGCCAAAATGCTCTCCTACCAACAGGTCTAACACTTGGCCCGGTTCATTGCCAAGCACCAAATCCAAAGTGGCCTCTCCTCGTGTTGGTCTATCTACATACTGTGTCAGGAATCCTACCTGAACACACTGGACAAAATCCGCTCCATCTAAACTCTTACACCTAAAATGTTTCCAATCAATATTTGGATAGTTGAAGTCACCCATGACTACAACCCTGTGACTTCTGCACCTTTCCAGTATCTGCCTCCCAATCTGCTCCTCCACTTCTCTGCAACTATTAGGGGGTCTGTAAAAAATCCCCAACAAAGTGACTGCTCCTTTCTTGTTCTGGACCTCAACCCAAACTGACTCTGTAGACATATCATTCTAGAACTGCCTTTCAGTAGCTGCTATACTAGCTCTGACTAGCAATGCCACTCTGCCGCCTCTTTTACCACCCTCCCTATTTCTTTTAAAGCATCTAAATCTCGGAACTTCCAACAACCATTCCCCTCCCTGAGTTACCCAAGTTTCTGTAATGGCCACAACATCGTAGTTCCAAGTACTGACCCATGCTCTAAGTTCATCTGCCTTATTTCTGATACTTCTAGCATTGAAGTATACACACTTCAAACCATCTCTGTGTCCACAATTACGCTCCATCGACTGTATTTCTTTATTAAAAACCTCACTCCCTGTTGTGTCTGTTGGAAGGCTGAACACCTCATCCTCTGAATTACAAATTCGGTTCCCCAACCCCTGCCGATCTAGTTTAAACCATCCCGTATAGCTCGAGCAAACCTCCCTCCCAGGATATTTGTACCCTTCTGGTTCGGGTGCAACCCGTCCTTACTGTACAGGTCCCACCTTCCCCAGAATGTGCTCCAATTATCCACATAATGGAAGCCCTCCCTCCTACACCAGCCCTGTAGCCACGTGTTGTGAGAAGTTATTCAGAAAACATGCCCTGTCAATTTACAAGATTAACTGAACTCTGGGGCATTTCTGGTATTTACCACAAACATCCTGAGGCAGCCCTTTTAATCGTCATTGTGCTGTTATTTTTGCACATATTCAGTTGGGTTCATCTTCTGGCTGCAACTAATTAGCAAGTCTGAGGTACATGTTGAGACAAAGCAGAGAGAGATGTGCCATGTCTGGCAGTGACCTGTAGCATTTCAGTGAATCCACATTTTAAAATCAACAGACAGTCATATGTCACCAAAAAGACCCTTTGGCCCATTGAGTCTGCACTGACATAGCTCCCACAAAAAGTGCGCTTTTCCCAATTTCCTGCACTTGTTCCATATCCTTGAGTGTTATGATGTGGAGGTGCCGGTGTTGGACGGGGGTTGACAAAGTCAGAAGTCACACAACACCAGGTTATAGTCTATCAGGATATCAATTAAACCTGTTGGACTATATCGTGTGACTTTTGACTTGAATGTTGTGATATTTGAAGTCCTCATCCAGATATATTTTAATGGTTGTAAGGTTCCCAGGCTCCTCTACCTTCTCAAGCAGTGCATTCCAGATTCCCATCACATGCTGAGTGAACAAGTTTTTTTTCCCAAATCCCCTCTGAATCTCCTGCCCCTTACCTTAAAACTATGCCCTCTCGTGATTGACCCCTCAACCAAGGGGAACAACTGCTCTCTATTCACCCTATCCATACCCCTCATAATCTTATGCACCTCAATCATGTCCCCCCTCAGTCTCCTCTCCTCTAAAGAAAACAATCCAAGCCTATTTAATCTCGCCTTATAGCTCAATTTCTCCACTCCTGGCAAAATCCTGGTGAACCTCTTCTATATCTCCTCTAATGCTATCACATCCTTCCTGTAGTGAGGTGACCAGAACTGCACTCAGTACTCCAGTTGTGACCTAACCAATGATCTGCACAATTCCAACATTACCCTCTTGCTCTTATACTCAAGGCCACGACTGATGAAAGCAAGTGTCCCATATGCCTTCTTAACTATCCTATTCACATGCTCTACTGACTTCAGCGATCTGTGAATAATTACTCCAAGATCTCTCTGTTCCTTTAAGCTACCCAGTGCTATTCCATTTATTAAATACTCCCTCATCTTGTTTCTTCTTTCAAAGTGCATCACCTCGCACTTATCAGGGTTAAATACCATCTGCCACTGCTCTGCCCATCTGACCAACCCATCTATATCTTCCTGTAACCTACAATCATCTTCTTCACTATTAACCACTTTACCAATCTTGGGGCCATCTGCAAATTTGCTTAACATTCCTCCCATATTTTCATAAATATCATTTATGTATAAAAGCAATAATAAGAGTCCCAGTACTGGTTCATGTGGTGCACCACGAAAATCAACCTCCAGTCACTCAAACAGTCGTTTACCACTACCCTTTGTGTCCTATTACAAAGCCAGTTTCTGATCTATCTCACCGAGTTTCCCTGAATTCCATGTGCTTTAACCTTCTCAATCAGTCTTCTATGTGGTACCTAGTCAAAAGCTTTGCAAAAATCTATATAAACTAAATCAACTGAATTTCCTCCATCCACACATTTGATCACATTTTCAAAAGTTTCTAACAAACTTGTTAGGCATGACCTCCCTATGACAAAACCATGGTGATTCTTCAAATTAACCCATGCCTATCCAGGTCGGTATTAATTCGTTCCTTCAGAATTTTCTCCAATAGTTTCCATCCCACTGATGTGAGACTCACTGGTCTGTAATTTCCTGGTTCATTTCTACAACTCTTCTTAAAAAGTGAAACCACATTAGCTGTCCCCCCATGGCCAGCTAATTAAACCAAACTAAAGCATTATCATTATGCATTAAAGCATTAGCCATTCTAGTATTCATCTAAAGTGGAATCTGTGGCTAATGGAGAAGCTAGGCCTGGAAAACTCAAATTCAAAAACATGGGTGGCACGATGGCTCAGTCGTTAGAACTGCTGCCTCACAGTGCCAGGGACGCGGGTTTGATTCCACCCTCGGGCGACTGTCTGTGTGGAGTTTGCATATTCTCCCTGTGTCTGTGTGGGTTTCCTCTGGATGCTCCGGTTTCTTCTCACAGTCCAAAGATGTGCAAGTTAGGTGGATTTGGCCATGCTAAATTGCCCATAGTGTTCAGGGATGTGTAGATTAGGTGGGTTATAGGGGGATGAGTGGGATGCTCTGAGGGTTGGTGTGGACTTGACAGGCCCAAGGACCTGTTTCCACTCTGTAGGGATTCTATGAAAACAAGTTCAGTCAATACTGTTCAGAGGTATTACTTTCATCAACAGGCATTTGCCTGCCATGAACTTGGCACTTCAGCTCTTTCGTTTGCCTTCTGAGCCACAAAAAAGATACATATTTTCGGGTTAAGCTGCAAACATCCTGAAGAAAATTCATAAAGCTAATGCTATTTGAGTGTGCAGCATTGTGAAGTTAAGGCAACTTTTCTCATTCGGGCACTTTCAGGCTGATTCAAAACACCACTCCCAGAGAATGGAATTGAACAGGAAGCATGCAGGATGCCTTAATACACTGGACATAAAATGACTGGTAATTAACAGGAAGATTACTACTTGTGAAACCAGTAGTTTTGACACAACTGTTGTCCAATGAAAACTGCTACTCATCATAGGTATGAAGCAAACAGAGTACTGACACCTGCTCAGGCACAAGAACTAACCTAATACAGAACAAGGAGCATGAAACAAAGAGACTTCAAAACTGTATTTTAAGTGTGGGCTTAGCCTGACAGCTACTAACTACTTAAGGTCTTCTGCTGTAGTCTTTGATAGTTGTGATTTGATCATTAATTAAATCAATGGTGTGTAATCATTCAAAGACATTCTGTATGTTGCAGTGAATTAAAGGGTTCATGTTTTAACTAAGATAATAAGGTGTGGAGCTGGATGAACACAGCAGGCCAAGCAGCATCAGAGGAGCAGGAAAGCTGACGTTTCGGGTCTAGACCCTTATTTAGAGAACCCTTCCTACTATCTCTGTAACATGTTTTAACTAAAGCACTTTACCATTTTGTTTTAGTCAGGAGATGGACTGGGCTAACAGAGCTGCATATGTTACTTAGAAGTGACAAAGCACTTCAAGGTTCTTAAACATTTGACATAATTGCGATTTTGCCAACAACTGGACAACTGCTATTTCATAATTCGAAGAAAATATTAATTTGCTCTACTAGAGCATATAGTACTGTATTTACTGTCAGTTGAAATAGATCAAGATGCACATCATTTATTACCTGGTCTGACATGGCTGCTGATTACACTTGCGTACTAGTGACTCAGGCTTTTTCAGCTGTTTGCATTTTCTATTGTCCACAATAGTTGTAGTTTTGCTCATGATTTTTGTACAAGTCACAAGTGTTTTTCTTTCTCCTGGAGAAATAGTTAAAGGTGAAATCAGTTTTCTTTATATTAAGCAAAGATTGTTTAATATTCACAAAGCTATAACTCTCACTTTCATGATTAAATAGAGCATGCAGTTATGGGAAATGATTGAACCGACCTCCCATTATATTTGTTTTAGTTGAAAAGATGGTGAAAACTTTCCCTTTCATTTAGGACAAAATAAACTATTAATGGAAGAGACAGTAGGTAGCATTAAGCATTAGCACTGCAAAACTATCAATTGGAGGTAAATGTCAAAAACTGTTGTACAACTTAATTATTAATATGAATAGTTTAGGCAGCTCATCACCACCTCCTCAAGGGTAGTTAGGGATGGCAATAAATGTTTGCCAGCTACCAATGCCCACGTCCCATGAGAGAATAAAAAAATGAGCACAGTAGATTATCTATTGAAAAAGGTTGAAGACTTGCATCTAATTTATAGTAAGCCACATTTTAAATTCAAAATACATTTCTTAATAAGAAAAAAGAGCCAACAAATGAATAAAAGATCTAAAATTTCCACAATTTTAGGGCAATTACTCCGAATTTGACTCTAGAACCTGGTACATGGGGATATTTGCATCTTAGTAAACAACAAGAGCGAATTTCCATTATGATAGCAATTTTCACGTAAAGGAACACATTTCAAAATGATTCAGATGGAAGAGGCAACAGTACATAGAAGCAGGGGCAGAAACTAAATTTCAGTAAGGTATAGGACCAAAAGGAAGTTTTAAGGGAAGAATTTGGAGCAACAATTTGGCTTTCCTGTAATATCATTTTAAATAAATTATAAGCCTTCCAACATATGATGAAACAACACTCTAGTTATCGCATTAGCATCTTAAATATCATATCAAAAACCATTTTCACCTGTAGGACGATACAATAGTTTTAAAATCATCATACTCAAAGTAATCCTTTGTCAAATCTGTCTTATGAACAATGCACAAATTATCCTGAATTATGACAACATGATGTGAGTGAGGAGGAACCTAGCCAAGGCTCCTGATTCTAATTAATAGCCTGTAATGTTTACTTGAGGAAACTTCAGAGGCTAAATTTTGGGCCCGAGTGACATTGGGAATGCAGACTGGAACCCTGATTTCCTGACTCCACTCCCAACATCGGCTGTTTTGGCTTCTTACAGCCATGAGGCAGGCAATTAAATTTGTTCAGAAGTTTGTTGAACAGGGATTATAGAGGTTGACTGGCATTTTCTACTCAGCCTCCAGTTTTTGGCTGATCAACCACCTTGAGAGAAGCACCCAGCTGGGATGCCGATACTCCTGCGATAGGGTTAGGGTTAGGGTTTAGGGTTAGGCAGGGCCTCTCTGTCTGCCTCAGTGGATGTACTGTAAAGTGACTGTAAGGGCATCTTCTTGATGAGGCATTCTCCTAGTTACGGACCTCACACTTGCTGCCACACTTATAATGGCAGAGATCCTGGCTCCATGCTAATAAAAGGCTCATCCCAGTGAAGAACAGTTTTCAATTGGAGATGTGTCTGGAACCTGAAAGCAGTCCCAACTCCTGTTCTCCACCCCTGTGGGGAAAATTCAACCCTGAGTCTTTGCAGTAGGATGATAACAGAACAGATTTTAGTTGAAATGCCCTCTGGGATCTCTATCTTTCCACTACTCAGAATAAACTCAAACATTTCAGTGACAAAGTTAATGAAGTAATAATTAATTCATGTAGTACCAATTCCAGCACATCAAAAAGAAAAACCAAAACAACTACAGATGCCGAAAATCACAAACAAAAACAGAAGTTGCTGGAAAAGCTCAGTGGGTCTGGCCGCATCTGTGAATAGAAATCAGAGTTAATGTTTCAAGTCTGGTGACCCTTCCTCAGAACTGATAGTAGGGAGGAAAATGTTGGTTTATGTGCAGAAGATAGGGTAGGATTAGGGGGTAGGGTGCAAACAATAGGTGAGGACAGAGCCCAAAGAGAGAGAAGAACAGTTGGACAGACAAAGGAGTTGATAACGATCTGGCTGGGAGGGTGAATAGCTGTTTATGGGGACTGTTAGTGGCTAACAATAGGTAGTGTGTAATGGCAGGCTATGTGATAACAAGACCTGGTGTTTGGGATACAGTCTAGGATATGGGAGAGTTTAGGCCCTAAAATTATTGAACGCGATATTGAGTCCGGAGGGCTGTAGGGTCCCCAAGCAGAAAATGAGGTGTTCTTCCAGCTTGCACTGACCTTTGCTGGAACACTGCAGCAAGCCTGAGACAGAGATGTTGGCCAGGGAGCAGGGTGGTGTGTTAAAGTGGCAGGCGACAGGAAGCTCAGGGTCTTTTTTGCGGGTAGAATGTAGATGTTCTGCGAAGTGGTCACCCAGTCTATGCTTCATTTCCCCATTGTAGAGGAGACCACACTGTGAGCAGTGAATGTGGTGGACTAGATTCTGGGAAGTGCAACTGAAGTGCTGCTTCACCTGGAAGGTATGTTTGGGCCGTTGGAGGGAGGAAGTAAATGGGCAGGTGTTACACCTTCGCTGGTTACAGGGGAAAGTGCCGTAGGGTTATGGGGAGGTGTTGGGGGTGAAGGAAGTGTGGACCAGGGTGTCCCAGAGGGAACGATCCCTGCGGAAGGCGGACAAGGGAGGGGAGGGGAATATGTGTCTGGTGGTGGCATCTCGCTGGAGGTGGCAAAAATGGCAGCTGATGATCTTCTGGATGTGGATGCTGGTGGGTTGGTGGTTAAGGAGTCCTCTCCACACCCCACAGACCCCTTCGTCCAGTACCAACACTGTCCCTCAACCTGGACCCCTCTCTCCAGCCTTTTATAGTACTCAACCTGTTCATTGAGAACTGTCAATGTGACATTGGTTGCCTCACCTAATCCAACCTATCTCCCACCGAACTGACTGCACTCCATGTGCTTAGATCTAACTTTGACTTTGTTATTCAGCCTGCCAATAAGGGAGGTGATGTTGTTGTCTGGTGTACTGACCTCTACCTTGCAGAGCCTGAGCACCAACTCTCAGATACCTCCTCCTACCTTCCCCTGGACCATGACCCTACCATGGCAAATTAGGCCATTGTATCAACTACAGTAACTGACCTCACTTCATCTGGTGATCTTCCCACCCACTGCCTCCAAGCTGAGAGTCTCCCAGCCCTGCACAGCTCGCTTCTACCTCGTTCTGAAAATCCAGATACAGGACTGCCCATGCAGACTCATTGTTTCTGCCTACTCCTGCCCCACAGACTTCATTTCTTCCTACATGACTCAGTCTTTTCTCCCCAGTCCAGTCCCTGCCCATGTACATCTGTGATTGATCTGATGCTTTATTCCACTTTCAGAATTTCCAGGTTGCAGGCTCCAGCCACCTCCTATTTACAATGGACGTGCAATCCCTTTACATGTACATTTATGTGCAATCTCCTTACATTTATAATTGGGGGAAGGGTAATTACAATTCTGTTAGGCAAGAACTGGGTAACATGAAATGGGAACAGATGCTGTCAGGAAAGAGCACTATAGAAATGTGGAGGTTGTTTAAGGAATGCATACTGCATGTGCTCGATATGTTTGTCCCTAGCAGGCAGGGAAGATGCGGTTGAGTGAGGGACCCTTGGTTCTCAAGAGAGGTCGAACGACTGGTTAAGAGGAAGAAGGATGCTTATATAAGGTTTGGGAAACAAGGAACAGAAAAGGCTCTAGAGGGATACAAGTTATCCAGGAAGGAGCTGAAGAAAGGGCTTAGGAGAGCGAGAAGGGGGCATGAGAAAACCTTGACAGATAGGATCAAGGAAAACTCCAAGGCTTTTTACACCTACGTGAGGAATAAGAGAATGACCAGAGAAAGGGTAGGGCCGATCAAGGGTTGTAAAGGGAATTTGTGCACGGAGCCTAAAGTGTTAGGAGAGGTCCTTAATGAATACTTTTCCCATGTATTTACAACGGAGAGGGAACTAGTTGTAGAGGAGGACAGTGTGAAACATGCTGGTAGGCTAGAGGAGGTGGATGTTAGTAAGGAATTTCGAGGAACTTGAAGATAGATAAGTCCATTGGACCTGATGGGATTTATCCAAAGATTCTGTGGGAAGCGAGGGAAGAGATCGCAGGGCCTTTGGCGATGATCTTTTCATCCTCACTGTCCACGGGTATAGTGCCGGAAGATTGGAGAGTGGCAAACGTCATTCCCTTGTTCAAAAAAGGGAATAGGGATAACCCCGGAAATTAGAGGCCAGTTAGTCTTATGTCAGTGGTGGGCAAATTATTGGAAAGGGCTCTGAGAGATAGGATTTATGATCACTTGGAAAGGCACAGTTTGATTCGTGATAGTCAGCATGGATTTGTGAGGGGTAGATCATGCCTCACAAACCTTAATGAATTCTTTGAAGAGGTGACCAAACACGTGGATGAAGGTAGTGCAGTGGATGTAGTATACATGGATTTAAGTAAGGCTTTTGATAAGGTTCCCCATGGTAGGCTCATGCAGAAGGTAAGGAGGCATGGGATGGGGGGAAATGTGGCAGATTGGATTCAGAATTGGCTGACCCTTAGAAGACAAAGGGTGGTAGTGGACGGAAAATATTCAACATGGTGCTCAGTTATGAGTGGTGTACCACAATGATCTGTTATGGGTCCTCTTCTATTTGTGATTCCTATAAATGATTTGGATGAAGGAGTGGAAGGGTGGATTAGTAAGTTCGTGGACGATACGAAGGTGGGTGGAGTTGTGGATAGTGCGGAGGGCTGTTCTAGGTTACAAAGGGACATTGATAGGATGCAGAGCTGGGCTAAGAAGTGGCAGATGGAGTTTAATCCTGAAAAGTGTGAGGTGATTCATTTTGGAAGGACAAACTTGAAAACAGGATACAGGGTTAACGGAAAGATTCTTGGCAGTGTGGAGGAGCAGAGGGATCTCGGGGTTCATGTCCACAGTTCCCTGAAAGCTGCCACCTAGGTGGATAGAGTTGTTAAGAAGGCGTATGGTGCTTTAGCTTTTATTAATAGAGGGATTG